TTGTTATTGTTACCCCATGGTTGCTTAGCAAACAGTGATGACCTGGCTAAGCAGGCATTTGCGTTTGAATGTCTGTTAAAGAATGGCCTGTTTAGACCCCCTGAAAGTCATCGATATAAGTTGCAGTGATGTTGTCTGTAGCGTGTGTGGAATGGATGCCCTTTTTTCCCAACTACGCTGACTATAGTTTTTACGATGTCCAGAACATTTTGGGATTAGTTGCAGGTGATTATTATTTTTTTTTAAATTATTATCCTAACATACTTTTTTCATAAATTTATTTAGTTTATTTGATATGTTTTTATGTTTGTGTTTTGTGTGTGTGTGTGTGTGTGTATATATATATATATGTGTGTATGTGCAATGTATACAATATTTTTTACCATATGCACAATATCTCAAGATTAGTTGCTGGTAACATTTGTTTGTTCAGTTGCCAGGCATTTTTTATTTAGATGAATTATTATATTTTACCTTTTTATGTATGTGTATTTTATGTAGGCCTATAACAAATTATTTTATTACGTTTATATTAATCTTAAAGCAAATTATTGTTAAATAGATGCTTGAATTGTTTTTTATTAAATTTTACAAACATTTGTTGAAGTCAATGAAATGATAGTTTGTTTATAAATTGACACATTTTTTCTTTTTTTCCCCCTCAACAGGTTCAGATGTGAATAGCATGGATTCAGTGGACAGCTGTTCGACCTTGGGGGTGGGAGACAGCCAGCCGAGTGGCAGCCAGACCTGTCAATCACAGAGCTCTGAGCTTATTGTGTGGGAGATTGAGGTGCCAAAGGTACGATTCCCTTATACACTTAATTCTGCTTCACATTTAGTACTTCAGCCATCAATCAAAAGTTTTTCTTAAAGTATTTTAGCAGTTTTTAAGGAAAACTCAGGCAGATGTTGGTTAACAGCTCTTTATCTGAATGTCAAAGCACAGCAGCTTTTGTCAGTGTGCTAGCTTTCTTACCTTTTGTATGAATAAATTAAAACTTGCTTTGATATCTGTGGTTCTCCTCTGATTTTGTAGCATCTAGTGGGGCGGCTAATCGGCAAACAAGGGAGATACGTGAGCTTCCTGAAGCAGAGCTCTGGTGCTAAGATCTACATTTCAACCCTGCCTTACACTCAAGAGTTTCAGATCTGCCATATAGAGGGTAAGTGAGTCTCTATGAAAGGCCACAATCTTGGTTCATCCATGGCCTTCTTGAATTGATTGTTTTTGTGGATTTGTTTGTTTCTTAGGAACCCAGCAGCAGGTAGATAAGGCGCTGGCCTTGATTGGGAAGAAGTTCAAAGACTTGGACCTGACCAACTTGTACGCCCCACCTCCCCCACCGCTAACGCTGCCCTCTCTGCCCATGACTTCCTGGGTAAGATTGTCCCCTACCTCCTGCAGACTACATGGGCAGCTACCGTCTAAAGCCGGGACACACCAAGCTGACGGTCGGGCAATGTCAGGTGGTTTTTGAGTGTCGGTCTGCCTTTTTTTGGTTCCAAATGGTTGGCTCTAGTCGGCTTTTTTTTGCGGTCAATTCCTTATGTCGAATCTGTGGCGGAGCTCATTTACGAGAGAGAACTCCACCTCGCTATTCAGCTTAGTGAATGAGCACACAAGAAAAAAACGTAACTGACGAAAGCAACCAATGACGGATTAAAGAGGGAATGCACACATCTGTCATTCTATGAGTTTCTTTCTTTATTCACAGCTTTGCAGACGTGATTGAAAGCTACATTGCTTTGTTTGTATAGCCACAGTTCTAGCTCTTCCGGTTTTCCTGTTTGAATGCTGAATGCAGATTACTGCCACCTGCTGGTATGGAAGAGTTATGTTCTCTCATGCAAGGGCAAGCATACATGCTAGTTGGCTGTCGGCTGTAGTCTGTCTGATGTGCTCTAGCGCAACATTTTTGCCATGACGCAGGCGATGTGAGGCTCCACAGTTGGCTTTCTTAAGTACTAGTTCAGCGGTGGCGAACTCCGGTCCTGGAGAGCCGCAGCACTGCAGAGTTCAGCTCCAACCCTAATTAAAGCTCACCTGCCTGTAGCTTCCTAGTAACTGTTCAGACCTTGATTAGCTTGTTCAGGTGTGTTTGATTAGGGTTGAAGCAAAACTCTGCAGGGCTGCGGCTCTCCAGGACTGACGTTCGCCACCCCTGTAATAGTTCTTTGGCGACGGTTTGGTGTGTCCCTACCCTAAAGCAGGATTCTGACTTTCTTTCAGGGATCTTTTTATTTTTGTCAAACATTAACCCGAACGTAGTTCTGTCCTAAATGATTTAAACTGCAGAGTCCAAGACACTTGGCATTTTAACATAGTGCTTCATTGGATCTGTCTGTTACAGCTTTTGTTGCCCAATGGGGTGACGGTCGAGGTGATCGTGGTGAACATTGTATCAGCCGGTCACCTGTTTGTTCAACAGCACACTCACCCTACGTATCACGCCCTGCGCAGTCTGGACCAGCAGATGTTCCTGTGCTATTCACAGCCCGGGACGCCCCCCTTGCCATCGCCTGTTGAAGGTAAGATTTTCCCCCTTTTCTCTTTTTTACATTCCTCTTTCTGCAGAAAATAACACATTTTCTCGGTCTCATCTCTTTTTCAGTTGGAGTGATTTGTGCGGCCCCAGCTGTAGATGGAGCCTGGTGGCGAGCGCAGGTCATCTCCTTCTACAAAGATTCAACCGAAGTGGAAATCCGATATGTTGATTATGGTGGCTATGACAGAGTCAAGATTGACACCCTTCGACAGATCAGGTTATTCCTGCCTTTTTTATTCATTAGTAAAAGTTTCCGTACTGTTCTGTAAAGTTCTTTATATTTAAAAAAAAAAAAAAAGCAAATGTCACCCATGATAAAAATGTTTTAAAATATATATAGAAATAATTTTTGCATTTGTTGTTCTTATCATAGTCTTGTGCTGTGGACTCACTGATTCTTGATTTTCAGGTCGGACTTCGTGACATTACCGTTCCAAGGAACAGAAGTGTTATTGGACAACATTGCCCCACTTCCAGGTTTGCATTTATTTAAAAATTTAAGTTGAATGTTCCATCACCTCACTCCAGCTGGATCTCACTGTTGTTGACGTCTTCATTAGGAGAGGATCGGTTCTCAGCGGAGGCCAATTCTGCACTGGAAGAGATGACGAGAGGGGTTCCATTGCTGGCACAAGTGAGTCTTTAAATCATTCATTAATGGATGACATTTATGTTGATGTTTACAGCCAACAGATAATTTAATGGGCAATTTTGTCATATAGGTCACCAACTACGACAATAATACAGGACTTCCCTTAGTACACATGTGGAACATGGTGGGAGAGGAGGTAAAATTGATTTGATTTGTTTAATAAATTATTAGTGAGAAGGGAGGAAAACATTAATGAAGTATCATTTATTTTATTTATTTATTTTTTTTCAGTATTCTGTGTTCATAATTTCTTTTTCTCAAGCATTTTATTTTAAGAAATGTTTAATTCAGAACTGAATATTCTGACATTTAAAACTTGTTCACACCAAGGATAACTATAACGATAAAAAGTATACAGATATGTTTTTAAAATCATTCTAAATTTAAAAGAATAGCACAGTCCACGCCACAACTAGAACAATAATGGCACAGAGAAACAATATCACTGGAATCATATGATAAAAGATTTGTTCTAGCTGATAAATGAAAATGTTGACAGCCAATCAGAATTCGTCTGGCTTTTAGATTTTAAGCATTTAAAGTGGCAGGTTGACAGAACTGTCTTTTTAGTGCATTGGTGTGGATGCTAATATACCTCACCTTTATGTCTTTGATAATGAGTAGCATGAATAACATGATGCTACTTGGTATCTTTTTTTTTTTTTTTTGTAGCTGGTCCTGCTCAACCGCACTTTCCGCACTTTAGGTTATGGCACTTGGGTGGACAGTTTCTGATCCTCCAGAGCTCCCTCGCCCTCCTCTCCTAACTCACCTCGTGGCCCACCTGCCCCTTAATTATCACCACTCATCATGAATATCTGCAGGTTCTGTCCTCCTCACCCCATCGTGTCCTCCACCACCTTCTACCTGAAGTGCGCATCACTGGCTCCGGGAGTTTCTTTTTTGGTTTGCTGTCCTCTCCATCCTGCCTTTTTCTATTTTCTTTTTTCTTTTCTATCCCCTTGCATAAGAAATCAATACTGTATGAAAGGAAAAAACGAAGTCAAGTGTCAATGGCCGATCAACCAATAAGGACTGAAGTTTTCTTGACTCTGTGCTCTTGTAAATTTAAGATATTGTAACTAAATAAAGGTTAAATCATGTTTTCCGTCCGATCAGACTGTGACTGTGGATTATCATGCCGTGGATGAAAAATCTGTAGTAATAATAAAAAAAGTACATTTCAGAAGATAACTATGGTGAAGTTAAGACTCAACGATGTTGCTGCTGACGTAATCTTGGGTCATGAGACATCATCTTTGCATTTACACTATCATGGCTTCATCCCAGTGTTTCACTGTCCAGTCGGGTCCTCTCCTCACTCACCTCGTGGCACACCTGCCCCTTAATTATCACCACTCATCATGAATATCTGCAGGTTCTGTCCTCCTCACCCCATCGTGTCCTCCACCACCTTCTACCTGAAGTGCGCATCACTGGCTCCGGGAGTTTCTTTTTTGGTTTGCTGTCCTCTCCATCCTGCCTTTTTCTATTTTCTTTTTTCTTTTCTATCCCCTTGCATAAGAAATCAATGTACTGTATGAAAGAAAAAAAACGAAGAGTCAAGCGTCCGAACAACCAATAAGGACTGAAGTTTTCTTGACTCTGTGCTCTTGTAAATTTAAGATATTGTAACTAAATAAAGGTTAATCATGTTTTCCGTCCGATCAGACTGTGACTGTGGATTATCATGCCGTGGATGAAAAATTTAGTAATAAAAAAAAAAGTATATTTACGAAGATAACTATGGTGCAGTTAAGGCTCGGCGTTGTTGCTGCTGACGTAATCTTGGGACTTGAGACATCATGTTTGCATTTACATTATCATGGCTTCATCCAGTCGGGTGGGTTTTGGAAAGCTAATCTGTAGATCTAGGTACAGTTAGGACTGAAGTTTTCTTGACTCTGTGCTCTTGTAAATTTAAGATATTGTAACTAAATAAAGGTTAAATCATGTTTTCCGTCCGATCAGACTGTGACTGTGGATTATCATGCCGTGGATGAAAAATTTAGTAATAAAAAAAAAAGTATATTTACGAAGATAACTATGGTGCAGTTAAGGCTCGGCGTTGTTGCTGCTGACGTAATCTTGGGACTTGAGACATCATGTTTGCATTTACATTATCATGGCTTCATCCAGTCGGGTGGGTTTTGGAAAGCTAATCTGTAGATCTAGGTACAGTTCGGCAAGGAATAAACAACCACAGCTCCATGTCATCCATCTCCATGTCTGGTGTCTGTACAACAGTGTGGCCTTTGAGGGTGATACGCAGCCCATCTCATGACCTCCCTCTTCACCACACTCTGGATCTTTAGGACTCCAACAGCCTTTGGCGTCAATAGGCCTGACACCAAGAGTCACTTCATTTACTTCACCGATTACGGAGTCTGTTGATCCAGGAGACGTCTGTGCCCTCCTGACCTCTGGAACTTTATAGGAAAGACTGCAGAGTCTTCAGCCCTAGAGTGACACTAGAGTTCAAATGGTGCTGCTACAGAAGACAAAAGGCCGTCCTTTACGCCGAATTCTGACCTGTGGGGACACTAAATGAATGACTACAAAAACCAGAACACTACTGCGTGACGGGACAGCAGGGCACTTCTATTCTGGGTGGATGAACTGCATTCAATGGGTCTGTGTGTTTTTGTATGCATGTAATTTTGCTCTAAAGCACGTCAATTCACATGTCGCATTATCATCTGGGTAATGGGCCGCTTGCTTTTGTCTCACTCAAGATCTGTCTCGCAATAACGTCACATCTAGTAGACCCATTGCCATTAATGTCTCTTTGTATTCTGTAAATAACATGGCACATGGTGTCCAATCCCAGCAGCCCATCCAATTGGTTACTAGGAGAAGCTTGTCAATACACAAACCTGTCTTGGAGAAGATAAAAAGCTTTAAGCCTTATCCATTGCTCTTTTTTTATGTTGGTTTTACATGGGAAGTCATTAGGTCTGCTTTATTACTGTATAATTTGTGAAAGTATAATGGCACAGAGATTAATCCCTTTTTTTGTATCTTATCATTGATCATGCTTTCAGTCATGTAATGGCTTTTTGGCCAAGGCTCGTCCCTTTTTCTGCTGCTGAATTATTGCTAATCTAATGTTGTTGGACTCCAGAATGTCTAAGGTCGTCCTTGCAGGAGACGTTTCCAGGCTTTTAGCTTGGCATTGTGGGCTTTTTGATTGTTAGCACTACAGTTGTTAGCCTCTAAAGCCCTTGATAAACTTTCCACTGTGTGAAAAAATAAAATAAATGCTCCCTGTTACGGCATATATTTGGCTTAACCAGGAAAAAAGTCTGGATAAAACAGAAAATACAGTTTTTTTTTACACTTTTATTTTTACACTTTTAGTTTGAAACCATAATACACACTGCTGACTTTAGTTGTAGTATAGAGCGCTAAGTATATGAGAACTGAGCGTCGGAAAGTAACTTCAGCTTTAGTTGTCTGTGAAGGGCATTACACGGGTTTCCACTATGCTTTGCTACTAAGTTTTTCTGCAATATTTTCTTCACACGCTCTTGTTTCTGTACTGTCCTGCGTTCATCTCAGGTATGAGCCTTTCATTTCTTTCCTTTCTGTGTTTGAGGAGAATTATTAGTCATATTCTTTCAGGAATTGATGTAACGTTACTTGATCTGTGTGAACGTGAATAGGTCTGCCTGCACTGCAGCAGGTGAATAAATAAGGAACCACACCGACCTCAGAGCCGAAACGTTTCATTGTTCTGTTTTTAGGTCTGTTTGTTCTACGGATTTTTTATTGATCAAGTCAAATTACTCCGCATACGCTCATATCTTGACTGACATGGCCTCCTACCACCAGTTCAAATGTGTCCTCCTGTATGTTCCTACCGCTCTCCTGTAATGACAAATCACGCTACTTTAGACTTGTCCAGGTGTGTGTGTGTGTGTATATATATATATATATATATATATATATATGTATATGTGTGTGTGTGTGTTTCACTGTACTTTTGTAAAAGCACTGGTGCGAGTGTAGGAAACAAAAGGGAACATTATTTTTTTTCACCCCCACCTTGCGAAATCTGCTCATTTGTTCTCTGTTGGTAGGAATGGTTTGAAATGTTTGCTTAGCTAGATAATTAATCATTTGATTATTTAAATGAGTGTAAGAAGTCCTGCATAGACATGTACAGGTCAGTTTTTGCCAGACTCGTTACAAGGTTTGATTCTTTGGTTGTACAGATCTATTGAAAAAAGAGAATAAAGTTATTAAAAACATTTCATGTCGTATTTTAGTTTTTAAATCATTGTGACTTGTAATATACTGTACCAATCAAGCGTTTGAAGTGTTCTCTAAAGGTAGAATGATTTCTGAAGGGTCATGTGATACTGAACACTAACTTTGCTATCACTGGAATGAACATTTTAAAATATATTAAAATAGGAAAAAAAAGTTGTTTTACACTGTAATGTTTCAAGTATTATTTTGTTCAAATAAATGCAGCTTTGATGGACATAAGCATACATAAATGCTCATTTCTACTTTATAGTAGGTATAGTTCATAACCTCTAGAGGGAGTTAAAGACCATTTTATAATCACGTTTCCACTCTCCAAGGCTGAGTTCATACTTTTGAGCTCTGTAATCCCAACAATGACATTTCCAAGAGCAAGGATATTCTCTGAGACGTGCCAGTGTAAACGCTTCTAAATGAGAGACTGCTTTTATCCATCCTAATTCTGCAGCCTTTCTTGGCGAATTACTCATATTTGCTAGGAAGCTAAAGTGGAGTCATCTAGTTAACTCATGAGAAGGTCTTTAGCTTGAAGCGGTTGTGCCTTTTTTTTAAACCAGAGAAATTAGCATATTGTGGGCGACCTTTGAACTCCGCTACAGCTGAGAGGGATAATAAGTGACACTTGTACCTGAGCTTTTGTCCAGAATAATTTGATATTTTCATTCTTATGTACAAAACGCTCCTGGCAAATCCCTGATGATTTCAGAGGGCTTTCAAATGAAATCTCTTTCTGGTCTGTTCAAAATCACAGTTCCTTGTTGCTAAATTGCTGTTGATTTAATTTATTGGCTGATATGAGTTTGAATCTTTGGTTATAAAGTGACATGAAATTGTCCATCATCAGCATCACATTAAGGTGAATTTTAATATTGTCCGATATGTAGGTGACACCACGTCTCTGGTTTTTCATGCTGTTGCAGACCAGCAAGTCAAGCAAATATGTCTAGACTCCATAATGACAATATAGTTATTCTCCCAGTGCTGTAATTCTATTCAATTTGAATTTTCTAAATCATAACTCTCCCTGCAAGTGTAAAATGCAACGAGTAAAAATGGAAACATATGCCTTGTAATCAGCCAACTGGCTTGTTTGGGGTTTAAACTCGAGAAGCCCCAGAGTGTATTTATTACTCACTGATGGCTGCTCTGTCATTGAAACACATCATAAAATTAGCAGATTATGCCACAATAAATTATCTGATGAGAAAAAAGGTAGTGGATCTGGCAATAAGGTGCTAAAATGGCAACTTTGGTGTATTTGTCAGTAAAACTAATGGGCTGACTATAGAAAGCTTGCTTCAGTTTTCTCTTTCTGTACATTTCTGTCAGACTGGAATGTGTTTTTTTTATAGCTGTGATTGCAGGGTATTGCCATTCAAAAGCCCAAGCCATTAAGATTATTCATCACAATATACACTGGCTGAATAAATCATGTTATGATTGACGTAACAGTCAATTAGTAAAACATACTGGTATTACCGTACACCTCAAGTCAAGATACAAGCTATCATAGTCATTTTTTTAAATTTATTCCAATATAAACCACCATACTGAAACACAATTTCCCCAAGACAATAATAATACAAATGAATAGACATTAGAGTGCATTTTGGGAAATCATCATAACTGATAGACAAACCTAGTTTAAGCTGGTACCTTTATATTTTCTGCCTATCTAGCCCAAGCTGGTCATTACCTAGTCCAACTTTTATTTTTATCTCTTCAAACCTGGTCATCTGCTAGTCCAAGTTGGTCATTAACTAGACAGAGCTTGTCAGTAGGCAGACCAACCTGGTAGACCAATTTTGGACCAGCAACAAACATATTTTTAGAACATGATAGCTGGCCAACCAGTTGATAACTAACTTAGACCAGCTAGAAACTAGCTGCCCTAAGTTCTAAAACACAGCTACTGGGATTTTTGTGCAGGCTGATATCAACAAAAGTTTATCTTATGTTACATGCCACAAAATGTTGTTTAAGGAAGTGTTTCCTAACTTTTTTTTTTGTCCTACAGCCCCTCAATAAGGCTTAAATACCCTGTCACTAACTCCAAAACAGAAATGTTTCTTTTTACTAAAATAAAACTGAATATCATCATTCAGCATTATTATTTGCTACAAATATGTGACCCTGGAGTTATGTGTCTTAAGTCGCTTGGGTATATTCTTAGCAATAGCCAAAAAAACATTGTATGCCAAATATTGTCCTATACTAACAAACCATACATCAATGGAAAGCTTATTTATTCAGCTTTCAGATGATGTATAAATCTCCCTTATGACTGGTTTTGTGGTCCAGGGTCACATATATATTAGTAGCATATACTGTATATTCAGTTACAAATGGTGTTCACACTAATTTATAAAACTAGCACACATTTTGTTTGCTTTCTGAAAAGGGCTAAAAGATCACAATGAGTTAAACTGATTGACAACTGTAACAACTCATGATTTCTGTTTTACAGGTTAAGCTAAACAAAACTGAAATCTTTCCATGTACCGTGGTTGGGAATCACTGGTTTAAGGTATGTTATGATATTTGGGTAACACTTCACATTAAGGTCTCATTTGTAAATGTTAGTTGATGCATTAACTTACATAAACTAATAACGAACAATACATTTTTATATAGTTAATAAAAAATGTTCATGTTAGTTCACAGCGCATTAACTACTGTAGTGTTAACAGAAACAACTTTTGATCTTTAAAATGTATTATAAATGCTGATATTAACATTAACTAAGATTAATAAATGCGTTAGAAGTTTTATTCATTGTTAGTTCATGTTAACTAATGTTAACAAATAAAACCTCATTGTAAAGTGTTACAGATGTTTGTAATGTAAAAATAGATTTGATATCAGTACTGTTTTCATTTACTGTACAATTCTAATATGTTCTCACTATATAATGTGCGGTTTCACATGGTAATAAGAGATCAAGGAGCACTGAGCGTCTTCCAATAGTGGTGCTGTTTCACTTCATAACGGATATACAAATATCTGACTCATCCCTCTGACGGCGTGCCATCCGTGGAATAGAAAACCTCATTTATCAGTATTCATTCTGTATATAATTCTGTGAGTATTTTTCATTCCTTTTCAAAGAATATGACTTATATTAGGAATATTTTTTCCTAATATAAGAACTCTCGTGTCAGGTGCTGATGTGATGTGATAACATGACCACTAGATGGAGCTGGAGTTTGATATTTCTGCTAATCCTGAATCCCTTTTTCTTTCTTTTCGCTCAATGAGATCATCAACTTCTGGAGTTTCAGGACCATCTCCATTACAGGGCACTTAAATTAGCTTTTTGTCTGTCTGATCTCCGTCAACTAGTGGTAATGCGTGCGCTCGCACAAGCCGAGATGAATCTAATGAAGGCACTCAAGCACACACAACCTTTATTCAGACGTCTTGAAAGGCTGTGCTTTTTAGCTCATCACTGGACAGTGGTAATTATCCGAGGTCACCCTTGTCTCGCTTTCTGCCACCAGACAGCCGATGCCCTTAAAGCTTTGAAAACTGTGTGCGAACACGATGGATATTCAGACATCTTATGTCATGCCAATGTTACACTGTACGGCAGTGCTGGAATTAAATGAATGTTATTGTCTCCTGAGGGGCCGTTTAACATCAACACATTTCTTACTCGATTGTTCTGCTCGGGCACGGCTAAATTACACTTAAATTTTCGTATCGCACCTCCCTTCTCATTTTAAGTAATGAACGGGCAGAGGCTGAAGTCCATTCTGCGGCCACCAAGGACACTTTTCTTTATTACCGTCCATTATGAGGCCGAATGTTTCTGTTTCTGTCTTCTGTCTAAAACCGTAACCGAGATCCCCAGCCTTCCGAGTCGGAATAATCGAGACTTTCTCCGCAAGGGTGATTCTGAAGCGTTTCAAAGTAATCTGATACCTGACCATCAAGGCTTAAGGCTGATTTATCCTTTCATTAATACAGTCTAAGGAACACATTGATTTTAAATAAAGACCCTTTGAACAGATACAGTGGCTCTAAAAGTATGAAAATCACCTTAAAAACACGAAGGTCATTGCTTTATATAGAAAAATATAAATCCAAGCATCATTTATTTGGAATAAAACACTTTTCAGGCAAAAAATTGCACAGAAAGGTTATATATAAGTTATTTAAATGAATGTTTTTTCACATGCTCAAAAAATGCAGTTAGTTCTTGAAAAGCATGTATTTTTGTAGGTAACACTTTATTTTAAGGACCAATTGCCACTCTTAACTAGCATGCATGCTACTAGCATATTGGCCGTTTATTAGTACTTATAAAGTACATATTAATGCCTTATTCTGCATATTTTAGATCCCTTAATCCTACCCCATAACTAAACTTAACAAATACCTTACTATCCATGAATATGCAGACAATTAGGAGTTTATTGAAGCAAAAGTCATAGTCAATAGCGGGAAATGGATCTTAAAGGGATAGTTCACCCAAAAATGAAAATTCTGTCATTAATTACTCACCCTCATGTCGTTTCAAACCCGTAAGATCTTCGTTCATCTTCGGAACACAAATTAAGATATTTTTGATGAATTTGGAGAGCTCTCTGACCCTCCATAGACAGCAAAGCAACTGTAATGTTCCCAGGTCCAGAAATGTAGTAAGGATATCGGTAAAACAGTCCATGTGACATCAGTGGCTCAACTTCAATTTTGCGAAGCTACGAGAATACTTTTTTGTGCGCAAAGAAAACAAAAATAACAATTTATTTAACAATTATTCTCCACCGAATTACGTCTTCTGCCATTTTGGAGAGTATCCAAGAACGTATTCGACGTAATCAGCGTTGTTTACGTTCGGTGGGATAACGCGCGCATGAACGTAATCGGCGTAATCAGCGTTGTTTACGCTTAGGGGAAAGCGTGCGTATGTGTTGTGATACTCTCTAAAGTGAACTAACCCTTTAAAATAAAGTATGACCATTTTGCAGATGTCAGT